TGGAAGGGCAAGGGGCGACGGGCCCGGTCCTGCCGTCGGGGGAGAGGAAGGGTTGGGGAAAGAACCAGCTCTCAGAAATGCCTGTTACAGTGACTGTACGGTATGACATTTAGTAGCACCACACAACTTACCACGGGAGAGTGTGGTAGATTTTAGTCCAGAATATTTTTTTAAAAGCGTGACAAAATGTCCAGATCTCTTAACTTTAAAAGAACAAAAAGGGAAAAGCCTTGATTAGGCACCCCAGCTAGCTGTTGTTTAGCCTTTGTTACCAGTTCCATTTCAAATTACATCATTAGTCATGTGCTGATGGGCAAGCAGTTGGTAGTTTGAGACTACTGGCGTGCCACTGTCATTCGCGATGCGCACAGGGACTGTCCTGCCAAGGAGCCCCTCTCCAAGCAGCATAAGCTGCAGAGCAGGGGATGTGCACTGAGTTTTGATGTTTAAATCATCTGTGCTTTGTCCCATCATTTGTGTGAAGACAGCAGTCTTCCACAAAGTAGGAGTGTTTTTTCCAGGTATCGGGTTACTCACAGGCCATGGGTCAAACCTGCCATGCTTTGTATCCTCATCTTTGATTCGTGTTTATTTTCTCATACAAAACTGGCATCTGGCTGATCTGAGGGTTATGTGACTGTTTGTCTTTGGGGTAAGTAGCCCAGGGAGGGAAGGACAGAGGGATGGATGGAGAGAGGGGCTTGGGGGATCTCATGCTCCTAAAAGTTGTAGAATTGCAATGTACGGGAGAAAAAGTGCCCTGAAAAATCCCAGCATATTTCATTGTGAGAAAGCGGACTGAACCTTCAGCAGCTTTCTGTTTTTTCTGCTTGTAAAGAACAAATGTTTTAGGCAAGAAGAAGTAAAAGACGCATTTGGAAGCTGAAATATTGAAGAGAAAAAACAGAAGCTAGTACATGTATTCACTAGAAAATCAGTAGCAGGAGAGGCAACAGAAATGCAGTAAGATTGGAGATACAACAGGAAGTGTGATTACCCTATGTGAAAATAATAAAAATATTAAAGAAGCAGCTAAAGAAAGGGAAACAACATAATCATGTTATGTGAAAAACATTACTGGTCATTGCATTTAAGGAACCATAATGGTTGAGTTGTTCCTGTATGTAATTTTGATTAATCCTGCTTCTTGAGATAGGTAATGAGCTGGTGATGTAGATGTAGTTTTGTTTGGGATGCTAGAAGTCAGTAATAGTGCCAGCCATTGTAATTACATTATGACAGATCCTCTGACAAGACTCGTACGTTGATGATTATGGTTGCAGATTTGCTGTGCACATAAAAAAAGGAGTAGACAAAACTGCTTAGTATTTTCCTCTCGGCTTCTATGAATTGAAGGGTAATAGTGGTGGTTGTTATGGATGTGACTGCAATTCTGTTCCCTTTCTGGCCTCTGAGTCCAGTCCTTGAGGTAAGTAGTGTACTGCTCGTACGTGTTTTTGAAATGTTGTTCTCCTATCCCTAGAGCACAGGATCAGGCAGCAGGGTCATGTGTTGCTTTTCAGGTCAGAGCGTGTGGAAACTGCTTTTCCCATGTCATTTAACACAACTTCTTAGAAATCCAATACATAAATTACATAAGGGGATATAGATCAATAATCCTTACTGAATGGTGTGCATCCATCACCATTATAAAAACGGTCAGACTAGCAGGGATGCTACAAATGTTGGAGGCCGTTTCTACCATTCTTTATGTAGAAAAAATATACTGGGTTATACAGGAGGGTCTGGCCGCGACCATTCATTATATCTCTGAAAAGCTCATACCTGATGCTTAGAAAGAGTTTTTCCTCCTGCAGAATGTTCTCTGCAAGCTTCTGTCAGTCTACTCCCTTGAAGCCAGGCTCAATTGTATTTTGAATGTTGAATGATTCTCATGGTTTTAGCATAGCTACCCAAAAAGTAAAAATGTCATTGCTACGTTTTGTGTCCTGACATCTATTTTGCATTTCTCTCATCTGTGAGAGTTGGAAAATTTTCCAAATCACTGTGATGTCTGAAAGCAAAGGTGATAAATTTCAGTGCTCTAAATGGCAGATGGTGGATGTTGTGGCAGACTGAAAAGTGAGGACATTTGAGACCTGGTGGTTTTCAGCCTGAATCTTGGGGCAAGTTTTGCACTAGTGCAATGGTAGGATGAGAATAACGTTTGAAGTACTTATCTGGAAAGGTGTCGGCGCTCTAGAATTCACACCATATCATTTGCCCTCCCCGGCAAACAGTTTCCGATGTTGAAGAATATATTGTGTCTCGGACATTGTATGCTCAGTTAGCAGCTGGGGAGTCACAGCAGAAAATGCGAGATGACAAACATCATCTTCATGGAAGTCACCACACCTGTAATTGCCCAAAAGACAGTTGATGCATCCTTTTACCTAAACAAAGTGTTTTTGGGAGAAGTACTTAGAAATGAAATCATAAGGAAAAAAAGGACCTCAGAGAAGCCAAACTGAAAAATATTGTACTGAGAAAATAAATATAGCCTGAACACTGACATCCTAGCTAAAAATTATGACTTTTTTTTTTTTTTTAATTGCAGATATGCTGTTCTTTTCCTTCTCTCACCCATTTCACATACATCCTTAGGGTCCCAAATGTGTTTTGAACTGCTTGTCTGCCTGCACAGGCTTTCAAGCATACCCTGAAGACGTTTCACTTCTGTCAGCTGCATTGAGAACCCTTCCTGGAAATATTTGCAGTGCTGGAAGGCAAAAGATAGTTGGAAAAGTGATGAGCACCTGTAGCATTAGTACTGATGTCACAGGTGGACATGCTGAAAGAACTTTAAAACCAGGCTCACTTGTTATTGAAGCTTTGTGGGAAAGAAAAAGGTGGAATACTGGTATATGACTGAAAAACTGAATACAAAGTTTGCTTAGAAGTATTAACTAGCATGTTTTTAGCATCTTAGCTGGGAATGAGGGCATCTCTCTCATTCCTTGGCAATTAACTCAAGTGGCTGTATAGAAAGTGTGATAGTAAACCATGCAAATGTGACTCTTATTGAAGTTGCACGTGGCTACTTTAGGACTGAGTTTGATCTTGTTAGTTACGTGAGTGGTTTTGGTTTTTTGTTCTTCCCGAGGCTACAAACACAAACCTTACTAGATTGTTTGAGAGCATCTCATTGTACGAGATTTTTGTGTTAGATCCTCTTTTGTTAAGTGTTCTGAAGTTGTGTTGTATGTATCTTCAAAAGTAAGCACTCGCTTATGTTTGAACTTCCCAGCACCTGAGTTCAGGCCCTCAGGTGCCTTATGTGTCCAGCAACAACTGAGACAATGGTATTTTATTTTTGCAGGATACATATTCAAGCCTGAGGAGTCTCAGGTAGGTTTTGGTAGGTAGGCAGTGATGTTTGCTGTTAGGTTTTTGTTGTAAGTTGGGGTTTTTTTTTAAAGTTATGGAAGCTTAAATTTTGCAGTGGAGCTTTCACAGATACTCAGTGTAAGCCCCAGTGCTTCCCTGGGTGCATTGCCCATCAGAAGTTGAAAATTCAGCAAAAGGTGTAGCTTAAAATTTTACATTTCTCTTAATGGGTAGGGACTTAAATCTATTTTGTAATTAGTTTCCTTATATTGCATCTTAACTTTTAACTATAAAAAATAATTTCTGAGGATTACAGTTTCTAAAATCAAGCTAAGAAGTTCTCAGAGCACTCCAGTGAACTTGCAAACTGCAAGGTAGGGCAGGCACCGTGTGTTTGTAATGCCGTGCAGTATCCTCATTCTCACTCTGCTTGGATTCAGTCAGTAGCTGTGGTTTCTTTGCGCGTTAAATCTGCGGTCTCAATTGTGTGAGTAACCCTTCCTGCCCTCCTGGTGAAGTCCTGTCTTTAAGACTTACTTGCAGGGATGCAGCTATAGGTAGTAGGCACTGCTGCAAGAGAACCCTTTTTACTATTTATGTGGATCGTCCTTAGGATGATGGAAATAAAAAACAATCTTCCAGAACCTATGGTTAATACTTGCTGGCACTAAAAGTGACAAGATAAAAAGAGACATTGATATATTTAAATATTTTGTCAGGTTAAGCTTAGTGTTCTGTCTTGGTGGTTTCCAGCCTGTAATTCATGTAGGCTAGTCAGGGGAGGAGTCCATGTTACACGTCACGAGCTGACTTTGGGTAACTAAGAATACTGTTAATGTTACAGCTTGGTTGATCTGCTGACTAGCTACCGCCGACAGGGGAGATTTCTTCATTCTCCCTTTCCTACTATGAGCCATCTTGCAAAGTTAAATTGAAGAATAAACTACGCTTTAAAAAAATCGGGGGTTTTGCTGGTCTGTCTCCTTGAGCAGTCAGACAGTACTATTGCCAGCACAAGGAGGGGACTGGGAATGTGTACGTGGGGGTGAAGGAGGAGTGAAGCCTCCCTTTGATAGCAGCCAGCGGTTACATTGCCTCAGCCTTAACATTGGTTAAAACAGCTAAAAGGACAAAAAGAAAAGTGAAATCTACTGCTATGCTTTATGACACACATACCTATTAGAGTTTTGTCATTTTGGTTATGGAAAGTATTTCTTTAAACTGGAACAGAAATAATTAATGTGTCAATCTTTCCTCTTTCAAACAGGGAGCAACAGCTTTATATGGCTCATGTCTGACAACATGCACCACCAGTGGCTGCTGCTAGCTGCATGCTTTTGGGTGATATTCATGTTCATGGTTGCTAGCAAGTTTATCACATTGACTTTTAAAGACCCAGATGGTAAGTTCAACTTCAATGTTTGGTATGAAACAGAAAATTGAGTAGTGCTTCACAAAAATACTCTCTGTGCAAAGTAATTCTCAGCATATTACCACTTCTTCAGTAGGATTGAGAACAGAATAACTGATTTTCTAGACGTGACAGTGCTGATACTCAGTTTCTGCTTTTCTTGGTAGAAGTCTGCAAAACTAACAGAATGTCTTTTTTTGTGGTGGTTGAGAACTGAGGGGCTCATGTTTGACAGTACTGTCTTGTGAGGTCCGCTTTTTCAAATACACTCAGTTTCAGTGTCTTGATCTGCTAGGAGTAGAAGTCACATGTAAAACAACGGAGTCCAACTACCTGTTGGTAGGACAGGAGATTCCCAAGTAATTAAAGAGTTCATTTCACATGATACTTATTTCTGTCCTCTTGTGACTGCTTGTCCTGTGGCTGCAGTATTATGTAAAACTTGTGGAAAGTTTTATTTCATTTGCAATGCACTTAGCTTAGCCACCTCTGCCCTGCTTCTTGCATTCCGCTTTATCCTCTGCTGTTTGACTGACAAACAGCTTATAGGCTTTTGCATAGCTTAAGTAGCCCAGATGGTATTAAGCTGATGAGGAATTTAAGCCATTCAATGACACTACACAGCATGTTACAGTTTTCTGTCTGCTGAGGAGCTACTGTTACAAAGCCATCCTACAGAGAGCTTAGGGTGAAGGTGATGACATGACTTACAGTCCTAAGAGATCTGTATTCCTGCATCTTCCTGAGATATGCAGAAAATGCGTAACTTTTGAAGCACTGACATCACTAGTGCCATTTGTTTCAATGACTTGATAGTGGGTAAATAAATTAGGTGTACCTTTTTAAATAGTATACCTCTGCGTGGAGATTTATTCAGCAAGTCTTACAGATGAGAACTGTACACTAACATAGCTTTCCTTGGTCCCAGATGTTTTTGAGGCCTAGTACATCTGCAAATAAGCTGGTCTTAAGTTAGGTAGTTAAATCTTCCGGTATTTCATTGTATGCCAGCTCTTGTTTACCAGTTCACATATTTTTTGAGTGGTTCTTTCCATCAGAATTTGTCAGGAGGATTACTTTTTATTATCTTGGCTTGCTAGTTTTTCTCTTTTTTTTTTTCCTCTTTTTTTTTTTTTTTTTTCTATGCTGAATCTTCCTTCCCCTTTGAATAGTTCTCTGAGCAGAAGATTGTATAATTTCTTAAGCTCCAGTCCTGCAAAGGCATGACTGTGGTTAAGTGTATGTATGTGTTGGACATACCACTGTTTGTACTGGGACTAATGAAAGGAAGTGATTTGAATATACCAACAGAATTTTGGAGAAAGTCTGAACAGGATGGCCAATCCTGGAGGAACTCTTCTAGACTTAATAGAATATGACTTGTCAGAAAATTTCCTTATTTGGATGCGTCTACTTAGAAGCTAGGACAAAACCAGCAGATGCCTAATGTTCTTTTGTTTAAGCCTTCTATTGATGTCTTGGGTGCATGAGCAATAGGAACTTAATGAGAAGGAGCAAGTTTCTGTCCATCATCTCTAGTAGCATCTGCAGGCATGCTTTTACTCGGTGATCACGAGAGATACTTTAACTGCTCTTTCACTGAGTCAGTTTACTTTGATTTTACAAAAGGATACTGTGAAGTAAGTCTGCACAAAAATGTTTATTGTAGCTGATTGCTTGGATGCTTACATTGTTTTCAGCTTTAACTTGCTTTTTCATGCATGCCCTTTGCTAAAATCCAGTGTAGGCAGAGTACTCCCTTAAGAAAAGGACATAGGCAGTACACACGTTTTCTCGACCATAGAACAGTAAGCCACTGTGGATGCAGGCAAAGAAAGTTTATGCATAGAAGAAAATATATGAAGGGAAAAGTAGCCCAATGTGGATAGAAATACATTTTCAGGGAGAAATCATGTTCTTGTTTTGTGGTTAGGGAAAGCTGCTTCAAATTATTTTTTTGATCTTTCTGCATCATGTAAAGTAAAGCTACAGCCTTGTGTTATTTTTCAGTTTTCCTGTAGCATGCCAATTTCAAAAGATGCTTCTTCCCTTGCATACTTTAATTTGGTCTCAAACTATTAGCTGTCCTAAAATCATTAAAAAAGAACGAGAGTATCAGCTGAGTTTGTTCTTTCGTTGTGACAGTCTCTGAAGAAGGCCATCTGTCCAGTAACAAAGGAAGAGGGGATTTTGTATTTATTGATTAGAGGTTGGAGGTGTTTACTTAGAGCACGAAAGAAATGAAAGGTGGTCCTTAATGACACTTTTCTTCTAGTAATGTCTAAGAGTTTACAACAGAAGAAACCTATCTACTAATATGAGCAGAGGGAGAAACCTGATAGGTTAAGTTTTTTATTTGGACATGCTTTGGGAAGTTAATTGAAAAATAAAAGTATCATACTGTCAAGTCCATATAGTTATACTCAGTTGTCCACCACTTGTGATATTTGGATTTATGATTTCTATGTCTCTTTGCAGTTTGTTTGTAAAAGACCAAAATAAAAGATAATGGACATATTTCTGATAAAACTCAACTGAAGTTACATCCAAAATTCCCACAGAGTACATCCTTTAAAATATTCATAGTTTGTCTCATGTCTTGTCTAGTACCTTCCTGTTTGGAAACAAATCCTAAGGTTTTGTAAGCTTCATATAGAAAGTGATGTTCAGTTGTATTAGTCGTAAAGCAGAAATAGTTGGCCCCCCCCCTTCTATAATACTCTTATCTCTCTTCCTTCTTTAGGCTATGGTGCCAAGCAAGAGCCATTGATACTGACAGCTGTGACAAAAGTGGAGGAGGTACATGTGCCAGAGGAAAAACATTGGCCTGAAGAATTCCAGGTGCATACTGTTGAGATAAGGGTTGTATTAAAGAATGGGAGAAAAGAAGAGATTAAGTAAGGGCTTCCTGTTGTTAAAAGGAATTGCTAGGTGGGAATTATTTATTCAGACTGTTCTATTAAGGTAGAGCAAACAGAATTCATTTTAGCTTCACAAAGCTAGTTTGTTACGGTAACCTGCTGTCTTGTTTCATCTGAATGATTCAACTTAATGTGTTTCCATTTCTAGGAGAAAATCATTACAGTACTCCTTTATCAAGTCAGGGCAGTCATTTTTGCTAGCCTTTTTAATATAATGGCCCAATTTTGGCTTATTTGTGTTCTGCCTTGCCGTAGCCATCAGGTTTGTGGCTCTTGAGGGCAAGCCTGTGTCTTGTCTATTCTCTTAGTTCTCTGCCCATTCTCTCTGATTCTTTTTATCAGTCTCCATTTCTTTTTCATGTTCGGTGCTCTTTGTGCTTCACATCTCAGCATTTTTCCAAAGTAGAACACGAACACAATAGTATTCAATACCAGTTGATCCTTTAGATGCATAGTTCTGTGCTTTCAGCAATAAAGCAGAACAAATGTGGTACTTGCTAACTTACGAAGAAACTCTGAAAATCCCTTATGCAAATGTGAATTTGAGACTAGTTGCACAGTTGACTAAGGCCAATTTTTTTCCATTGGTTACGTAAGTCATTTTAGGTTTAAAGTATTTTTGTGACGCAGCATGGAATGTAGGTTTCGGTATAAACATGACACTTTGTTTTCCTATGTAAAAAACCTGAAATTTAAGTTATCCCCAAAATACTTGGAAGAAACACTTTGTTAAGTGGAAGGCTGTCATATCTGTGTAGTGAGTTTTAGTATCTTCCTTTACTTATATGGAAGGGGATAATAAGGTTTCTGGATCTAAAACTATTCCCTCTTGACAGCGTGAAATGCAGAATAATAATATTAATCCTGGTTGCATGCAAAAGGAATTGTTTTGACAGATAAGCAGTGTGTCAGGATGTTCAGATTACATTCTGACCAGGAGATACTGGAGGAGAATAACAAACAGAAAAAGCAGAACAGCATTATTTTATTTTATTTTTTTTTTTCCTCATGGAGGATTGGGACAAAAAGTAAAATAATTCCTTTTTCATGTGTAGCTTGGACACTGTACCTAAAATCATAGAATCACAGAATGGTTTGTAGATCATCTAGCTCAACCCCCCTGCCATGGGCAGGGGCATTTTTCTCTACATCAGGTTGCTCAAAGCCTTATCGAACCTGGCGTTGAATGTTTCCAGGGATGGGGCATCCACAGCTTCCATGGACAACCTGTTCCAGTGCCTCACCACCCTCATTGTAAAAAAATTCTTCCTTATATCTAATCTAAACCTACCCTCTTTCAGTTTAAAACCATTACCCCTTGTCCTCTTGCTATAGGCCCTGCTAAAGAGTCTCTCTCTGTCTTTCTTATAAACCCCCTTTAAGGATTGAAAGGCCACAATAAGGTCTCTCCAGGCCCTTCTCTTTTACTGGCTGAACAACCCCAACTCTCTTAGGCTTTCTTCATAGCAGAGGTGTTCCAGCCCTCTGACCATTTTGATGGCCCTCTTCTGGACCTCCTCCAACAGGTCCATGTCTTTCCTGTACTGGGGACCCCAGAGTTGGATGCAGTAGTACAGGTGGTTTCTCATGAGAGCAGAGTAGAGGGGCAGAATCACCTCCCTCGTCCTGCTGGCCATGTTTTTTTTTTGTTTGTTTTTTGTTTTTTACGCAGCCCAGGATATGATTGGCTTTCTGGGCTGTAACACGCATTGCTGGCACATACCCAATTTTTCACTTGTCAGTATCCCCAAGTCCTACTCTGCAAGGCTGCTCTCAATCAGTACATCCCCCTAGTCTGTATTGATATTGGGGATTGCCAACTGAGTAAATAAATTAGTGGAAGGGGGAATATTTGTCAGGAGAAATTAAAAATTTCCTGTTACCTGTTAATCAGACAAACTCCTTTGTCCTCTCTCCCCACTAATGGTGAGGAAGAGGTAGTTGTGGTTCCTGTCTTAGTCTCAGAAAAATGAGACATACCAAACAGTTAATCCATTTTTGGGGACAGGAATCTTGCCTACTTCTCTCACTTGCCACAGTAAGTGCTGATGCTCATTGTGTGAATTTTGTCCACTTAATTTTGTTGCAGCTTGGTTAAATGGAAACACTGAATGCCTACAGGTGCTAGAAACCAACAGAAGAACTTTTATCCTAAATTCTTCTTTCCCAGCCAGATGGATCAGCATCCCTAAGCCCCATCTTCTCAGAGGTTAAAGCTTACTTTCTGTTGAAAATCCTGTCCCAACCCATCAGAAGCTTTCTTGCTTGCTGTTGAAGCTTTATGGGAGTTCCAGTACTTGGTCAAGGCATGTTGTATCCACACAGATAAGACCCTGCTGCTCTTCAGCAGACTTAAATTGTTTTATGGAAAAGCTCTTAGTACTGTCTACTACTATGTAGTGAGTTAAGAGTTGAACTAATGTGTACAGCAGCAGCACAGGAAGGAAACTGTGTGCTACTCCTTTAGTTAATACATAGCAGTGTTTTAATCATTAATTTAGGAGTCATTAGGATGCATGGTTTGGGGATTTTTAGACTTTAGAATTTAATCTGAAAACTAAATTCTTGCACTCTTTTTTTTTTTTCTTTCCCCTCTCCATTTCATAAAGCCAACTGGAAAAGCTTTTTCTGGAAATCTGATCCGCCAACCCCTGGTTCATATGGAAAGACTTGAGCTTCTCAGGAATGTCTGCAGAGACACTGCATTGAGAAATCTCTCTCACACTGCTGTTTCCAAATTCGTCTTGGACCGGATATTTGTGTGTGACAAGCACAAGATCCTGTTTTGTCAGACGCCAAAAGTGGGCAACACTCAGTGGAAAAAAGTCTTGATCGTTTTAAATGGTATCTGCTCTGCTGTGGGTGTGTGGTTTTCTTTGAGGAGAAGGAAAGAACAGAATTGGTCAAACTGGGACAACACAAAAATGGATTCTTTTTGCTTTTCTGTACACTGATAGTTAATTTCAGCCTTTCATTCTTCACTGTTACTTCTAGCCCTTTCAAAACATCCCTTTTAAAGAAAATAAACCTGTTCTTTCTGTGAAAATAAATATTGTTATTGCTTGGCTCAGAAGTGTTTTGAGTCATGAAAGAGTACCCATATGCATGTGGTAGGTAGATTTGTTAGCTTTGAAGGGGTGGCACTAGTTTTTAGAATTTGAAACAAGTAAATTACAAGGTGTCATAATTCCCTAAGAAACAATAATATAAAATTTCTGACTTGGAGCCACTGACTTTTAGCTAGGGTTTTTTTAGCCATGAAGAAAGCTAGTTAAAACTTGGCAGCTGCTGTTGATCCCTACTGTTGATCCCTATCTTGTGTGTGTGCTATCAGTGAGCCATTGTAGGAGTTAGAAAGATTCTGAGGTGCTTAATGTTATAGTTTGGTCAACAAAGGTATGTTACAAAAGGCTGTAAAAGAAGGAGTAAACGGACTAGTGTGTTTGAATAACTATCTACGAGGTCAACACTGCCTGTCTATATGTAGCCTACCATCCCCTTCTAGGAGCCTGATATGTCAATAAAAATAACTCGTTTCCTCAGGCTTTTCTACTGAACCACTACCTGCACACAGAAACTTAACTTGGTCGTATTTAACATAACACACCTTTGTTTGACATGATAGAAAATTGTTTCTGTGTAAACACTGGTCTCTTCTGCCTTGAGCTCTCAGTGTACTAGTATCTGCTTATGAAGGCTACCACTGCAGTTAACCTAACTTTCTCCTCTTTTTGTAGTTCAGCA